AAAAAAAAAAAGAAAGAAATGCATGGTATACAACCCCTGCAACCAACTCTGCCCCTTTCAAATACCCAATTAAGCACACCCTAGACATCACCTTCTCCCCACAGTATAAAAAGATGACCCGAACCTTGCTGGAGGAGGTCTTTCTACTGTTTCAGCTTTCTGTCCATTCCTTCTCTATCTTTAGCTTGTCTACAGTTTTCCTTTGCTTTAAGTAAATCCTACGCCCTTGCACACCTTTATGCCTCCATCTTGAATTCTTTCCTCTGTGGCAGGAAGAGTCTGGAATAAGTCCAATGAGGGGCCCTATTGCCCAAACAACAGACTGCAATGGTTATGGCACTCACTTGTGGACAGCCTCTGCTCTGTTACCCATGCAATACGGACTCCCTAATCCTGGGAGAGAAAACCTATTTCTACTGGAGACCTCATGCCATAGTGTAGAGGGTGGGTAATTCAATAAAGAATGTCCCTGACTTTTTTTAAGGGAAAAAAAAATAGCCCTACAACTATTTAGTTTAGGAACTTAAGGAAATCTCTTAAGGTGAACCTTCAAATGTTAATGTTGCTTGCTTTTAAAATTAAGAACAGAGAACATAAATCAAAAACCACTCTGAAACATTAGCTTCATATGAATGTTTCAAAGAGGCAGAGCAGAAAACAGAAGGGAGCCAGAGGCTGGGGGTACTAAACTAAAAGGAAATGAGGGAGTAAGAGACAGATTAAAATAAAAAGAAGGGAAAGGAAAAGGCAGAGAGTGAGAGTAAGTTATAAACACGAGTAGGGACAGGCAGAGGAGAGGAACAAAGGAAAAGTAAAAATCCATTGAGGAAGAATGAGACATCACAGAGATAAAGATACACAAGCAGAAGAGAGGTGAAGGGGTAGATTGGGAAGAGAATTGGGGAAGACTCAGATTTAACACCAGAATTAAGGGCCACTCCCTAGATAACGATGGGATGGGGAATAGGGGCTGTTAACATTGCACTTACTGCCTACAACCCTTTGTTAAGTCATCGGAGTGGACAACTAACTGCAAGTTTTCCACTGCAAACCTCAATTGTTTATTAGCTTTGCTAAAGCAATTTACCAAGGGAGGTTTTCCTAAATTATACTTCTTATAATACTAGGTATAATGGATTTTCGTATTTTAAAAATAGCTTCTCAGCCATTTGACCAAGTAGTTAAGACCTGGCCGTGTCTGTGTTGGAATAGCTGCGTTTGGTGCCTGGTTGTGCTCCTGAGTTCAGCTTTTCTGCTGATGCAGATCCAGGGAGGAGGTGCTGAAGGTGCTAAGTGGTTAGGCTCCTGTTCTTAGATGGGAGATGTGGTTTTAGTGCCCCGGCTTCTGTAGGAGTAAGCTAGTGGATGGGAGCTCTCTCTGGCAGGCTGGATCATCCTGTCTCTCCAGTAAGTAAAAAAAAAAAAAAAAAAATTCAAAGATACTTGGGAAATGCTAGCGTAATCAAAGTTAAACCAGTTTCTTTACCACAATACTTCTTTGAACCTTTGACATATGTTTTTAAGAGAGTGTCACATGGAATCCAGGGATTTCCAAACTTCTAGGATCACAAAGCCATCTTTGAAAAGAATCACAAGGCATCAGTTTTTAGCAGAACACACTCTGAAAGCACTGTAAGAGGAAGACATTATTCTCTGGGCTTTATAACCAGTGGCTGCCACGGTAACAACTAAAACACCAGTCTGTGAAATAAAAGGCTAAATCTGGCTTGAAATCTAGAGGTTTCCTATTCCTACAGCTAACATTGCTGTTTCTTTATCTCACTTTACATTCATATCACTTAAAATACTTTTGAGAGGAAAATATTAAACTTTATCTTCTATTTGATCTTGTTTAAGCTTCTAGTCCTTCCAACATAACTTATCCTTATTAATGTTGTACCAAACATTATTTATTCTTGTTTCTTTTATTGCTGAACTTCTTCCACCATGATTAAAAATCATAAAATGTGATGACAGTTAAGCTTCCCCATTACACCTACAGTGCCAAATTTCTCTCCCTACCTTCCATGCACAGGAAGGCCCAGTTGTAACTGTGACCTTGTAGCTCAGTTCTCCCCAGCAAGTTGAGAGCTAAGGTATCTGGACCATATTGGCCTCACTGTTTAAGAACAACACTGCTTGGCTTAGGCCCTCTACTTCCCCTCCTTTAGAACTGATACAATGTGCCTGCAGTACAATCTTGACCATGAACATGACACCATCTTAGAGACACCTGAATGATGGCCTGGAGTATAGCCACTTCATCAACTTGGGTCACTCAGCTGGAGTGACAAAGACAAGACAAAAAAAACTACTTTTACTTTGCTCACTTTTATTTTATGAGATTAGTCACCATCTACTGGAATGTTAATCTGAAATTGGAAATCAAGGCTAATCAAATTCGTATATTTTACTGTTCTGTAACATATCTGCTCATGCTTTAAAGCTATCCTGTGAATTGTCCAAACTTATGTTCCATTTTGTCCATTTATGACTAATCACCAATAAGCCCAGAAATATATATTCAGGAACTACAGGACTTTTCTATGAAATAAAAAGTGCAAGAATACTTATTGTTCAAGATAAAAATATTTTCTTGGAGCAAGACATAAAATTATTTAACAGTAAATATTTATGGAAAAACATTCTGTTAAATGGTGGAAAGGCAGGCATTTGGAGGTAGCTACTGAAACATGCATATATTCATGAATATGTCTTTGGTAAACAGCTAAACAATATAAAATATGACTCACTATCAGTCAACACACATTCCCTCCATGTCCTTGCATTGTTATGGGAGTGTTCTGTATGGTTTTAATACAGTAAGATAAATCACTATTTACATTCTTCTTTTTAAATACTTTAAACACTTACTTACTTGAAAGGCAAAGTGATGAATAGAGACATCATTCATCTGCTGATTCACTCTCCAAATAGCTAAAGCAGATAGGAGTGTGCCAGGCTGAAGCCATGAGGCAAGAACTCCATCTGGGTTTGCCACCACATGGCAAACAGACTGAAGTACTTGAGCCATCACCCGTGCTTCCTGAGTGCCTGAGCAGGGAGCTGCATCTGAGGTGGAGCAGTGGGACTTGAACTGGCCCTGTGCCATGGGAGGAGGGGACTCCAAGTGGGAGCTTACCTCGCTGTGCTGTAACACCTGCTTCCACATTTTTATTAAAGGCATTAAAAAACAATAGTCTATTTAGCAGAAAGGTCTTTAAAGTCCAGCAAACGACTTATTCTTTACTTTCCTGTCAGTATATTGCAGAGTTATGTTTAAAGAAACATTTTGACATAGTAAGATTCTATTATGTTTCTTACAGCTGCAAGAACCTTAAGACATGAAGAACTTACTTTTATTGTATTATTCACTTTAGAAGGTGACCAAGAGCTATAGGTAAATGCTGTTTCTCTGATCCTAAAACACTTCCCAGTTCATATCTGATTGAGATAGTAAGTGACTACCTTAGAGTAGTCAAAGTGGAAGGAATCTTAGATTTAGACCATAAGGACTCCTTCTTTCTACAGGAATCAGAAGTCTGAAAAACTATTTTAGTTACAGGCAGGTTCTTGGAAAGGAATTTCTTAAAGATATTCTCAGTGCAAATCAAATCAGTATAATCTTCAATATTTCTCTGAAGGCTGACCCTACCATCTTTCCACTTCACAGAGGAAAACTAAGCTAGAAGCAAGCTCAGCAGTCCCATTATCATCTTTCTGAATCAGTGTCATAACAGAATGGGATCCAAAACTTTGAATGTTGGAGCATTCTCACAGAGGCAGGCTGACCTCATCCAGATGGAGTGCATGCTGGCTGGGGGCGAGGAAAAGCCATGTGTGGGAAGTCTTGTGTATTTCACAAGAGTACTTGCTGACCAATGCAAAATGTTTGCTTAAAGAGTTCCAGCGGATAACGCAATCTTTAAGAAAGAAACCACTGCAGTATATCAGCTTCCCAGCCTTCTTCTAAAATAAAGTGTCGTTGGAGCCAGGAAACTGAAAATATACGCTTTAAATCTGGTTCCATCTCATATATCCACGAAATGCATACAAGGTAATCTTGTTTACTTTTTAATTTAGAATTAGGATCATTATGATTCTTCCTTCTCTATCTAGAAACGCATTTTCTATTCTGTTATCACCTAGAATGTTAAGTGCCAATCATGAGTAAGACAAAAGTTCCTGGCAAATCTCAATATCTCTACTTCCCATCAATGCACCAATGATGGCAAACTTCTAAAGACAACTCAGCCCTCACACACACACACACACACACACACACACACACCCTGGCAGCGGGGCCAGTAGCCTTAGTGTTGCATCCAGTTGCTCGACAAGATCCATTCCCACGGGTCACGGACCAGTATTTCTGATGACCACATTCAGTGCTGTGTGGTGTCAAACCATTACCGCATCCACCTCCAGTGAGTGAACCAAGTGAACCAAGCCCAGTGAGCTCATGCAGAACCCCAGGCTGGGGCACCGTTTGATGTGGCGTTAAAGCATCAAACACGAATCTCGGAACCCCATTTCGCTGTTCTCCCGGGTCGCACAGAGGGGCACTGCTTGGTGACCACAGAAAGAGAGGTGCTTGGAGTGGGGTGGTGGGGTCAGAGTGGGCGCAGCGAGGGAAGACGAGTTTGGGGAGGAAGCAGCTGCGGAGCGGAAGGCGATCAAAACACCAGTAGAGACAGAAAGAGTTGGGGAACAAGGAGGTGGGGAGAGAGCTGCAGAGGCGACCCTGGTGCAGGAGGGAAAGGAAAGGCGCAAAGAGGGCGCAGGAAATGGGCACCCAAGAAAGAAGTGAGAAATTGCGGAGGAGGAAGTCGTCCCTGGAAGAGGAGGGGCAAAGGGGAAGCGAGAATGGAGTATTTGCACTTTCGAGAGGGGAGGGCCTGAGACTCTCCCAACCGGGGCCGGTGGGGCGGGACCTTGGGGGAAGGGGCGTCCTGGCGGTCCCTCGGGGGGTCCCTGCACGCGAGCGCGCGCGGCCCTACCTGAACCTCTCCTGTCCCGCTGTGTCCCAGAGCTGCAGCTTGATCCTCTTGCCCGGCTCGATCTCCAGCAGGCGTGAGAAGAAGTCCACGCCGACTGTGGGGTCGCAGGCGGGCGAGCGTAGTCCCGGGAAGCGGCCCTGGGTGAAGCGGTGCAGGAGGCACGACTTGCCCACCGTGGAGTCCCCGATCACGATGAGGCGGAACTGGTAGATCCAGATGGTCTCCATGGCTCACGTGCCCCGCCGGCCCCCGGGCCGCCCCAGCCCTCCGCCCGCCAAGTTGGGCGGCGGGAACTGTCCCTTCAGCACCTCGCCGCCGGCCGCCCGCCCGTTTCCAGCATATTCCGGACGCTGCAGCCGCCGCCTGGTCCCCGCCCTCTCGGGAGGCAGGGGCGGGGCCGGCCGGCCGGGGGCGGGGCTCCGGGCTGGGGGCGGGGCTGGCGCAGGGGCGGGGGCAGCGGACCTGCGGCGCCCCAGCTCCCGCCCCCCGAGCGCTATAAATTACTTTTCCCTGGAAGGTCACTGGGCGCCGATGGGGGAGGTGGGTGTGGCGAACGGACGTGACAGCAGCAACAACCAATGAAGATGACACCAGGGCTCAACTCGGGGAGGGGCAGCCAATGAAAAGTGAGAGCCATTTTCTTCCTGGCGTCTGGGAAGGACACGTTAGAATGAAACAAAGAATTTGGAAGTCTGAGGAGCCGCAACTTGGGGTGTCTGCTGTTGTCTCATCGTTGATGTGCTTCTTACATCCCAGGTTTCTGAAAAGAAAAAACCCTGCTGGCAGCTTCGTGCTCTCTAGCCTCGCTGAGCGCCATCTCCTAGGTGTTCTGAGGAGAAGGCGTGGAGAGTACGGTAGAAATAAATCGACAGAACTGATTCTGGATGCTTCTGGCAAGGATTCTGCCCACTGCTACTTGCCATGCTTCTTGCATCACTGCCTCCCGCGTTGACGTAGACGCTGAGAACCTGAGCCGCAGCCTCCTCACTCCCTCTGCCCTCCAGCCAAGGGGAGGAGTGAGGACCAGTCAAGATTGAGATGCTCATAAACGCTCCCACTCAGACCAGGAGGAGGTTCCGGCCGCTGCAGTCACTTGGGGAGTGAATCATCAGACGGAGGATCTTCCTCTCTGTATATATCTGACTGCAATAGAAATAGAATCATCTTAAAACAAAAAAGCTCCTACTTCGCCCAGTTCACCTGGGACCCCCCCCCCAAAAAAAAATTCCACAAAAGTCTTTACGTCGCTTGTGTCTGGTAGTAACCTGTCTAAACAAAGTGGAACTTGAGTTCTGTTGAGATTTCACTGCTTTCTCATGTTTTTCCTCAAACTGAATAATAGTGAAGTTTAAAAAGTTTAAAAAGTTAAAGCCCTTTAACGTTTTTTAAACCAAAAAGTACACATTTCGAAAATTCCACTTGGTCATGTCCAAACTTTTGCTGTCATCATGCAACCTGCCTTTCTTATTTTGCAGGAAGTGGTGTCACTTTCAAGTAGGTGAGCTTTTTGTCAACAGTTGACCTTTATTTTATATTTCTGTACTTTAAATCTCCACCCTCCAAGGGTTTCTACTCTTCAGCCAATATGCATGCTAAGTATTCACAATTTTAAAAACCAAGCAAAACACCCGTCTAGTATTCTCCTTTCTCTGTCCTCCTTTTCAAATATATTAGAAAAGATCCATCTATTATTCTGTCTTCCCCAGCCTTCAACAACCATAACAGACATTCCATGGCCAATAGAACCCTGAAATAAATGTTTTTGATAGTTACTGGGGCTTCCGAGTTATCAGTTGCCTGACATGACCCCCACTGTATCCTCATTATCTTTCTTGACTTTCTGCATCCCCCAGTTTCAGGCATGGTGAAGTAATGACAGACGTGACCAGTGAGACACAGAAGGGCTTCTTGTAAAGCCTTTGCTCTCACTAAGGAGCTGGTACCTCTACTGCCCTCCAAGTCTTTCTACTTCCCTTTTTATTCTACCCTGGAAGCTGTAACAACCTAAAAATCAAGACCTAGATTCTCAAGATGGTGGCGGGAGAGTGAGGAAGATTCTGACTCCCACATGAATTTGTTGATCTGTTGTACCAGTGCTAAATGACTTATTGTTTGAGATAAGTAATCACTGCCTGTTTAAGCAACTGGCAGCTGAATTTTTCTTTAACCTGAATACTATGATTGCTTGGCTTCCACACAAGCATTCTCTTCTGGTTTTCAAACGTATTACCTGGTTCCTCTTTCTGTGATGTGAATATCCTAAAAAAAATCCATCCTTTGTGTCTTCTTTCTCTTCCATTCTTTTTTTTAAGCTTGGTCTCTTTGGCCTTTTTCTGGCAACTTCATTTACTCCAGTGATTTCAGGTACTCCCTACCTAATTCACATGTCCACTCTTTTTGTTGTTGTTGTTGTTAATTTTGTTAATTTTTTGAATTTTATGGTACACTTTCATAGGGTCTGGGATTTCCCTACCTCCTCCCCAAATTCCCACCTCCAGACTGATTTTCCCATATTACAATAGCACAGTCCTTCATAAGCACTCATGATTCCATCATTCTGTTATTTAAGTGTGTCCAGACATTGCCGGAACAGACAATGTCAGACAGTCCAGCATCCCATTGTCTAGGTATGTCCAAAAGTTTCATTGGGATTCCATCTTTGATTTGATGGAGAGATGCATACTGCATTATATCTTCACATCTGAATATGATAGTCTCTATTATGCCATCAATATATATTCCCTTAAATGAGAAGCCACAAAACAAAGTCAACAACAGGTATAAAGTTAAAACAAAAAATTTACAGCACCATGGAGTCGAAAAAAGTGCCACTGAATAACCAACAGAGGGGTGAAGAAATGGAAAAGAAAACACAAAAGCCTCTTGGATAAAATGATGCCACCGGGTGATCCGTACGCCAGCAATGAATTCAACAAGAGAGAAAAACTATTTGGAGGAATTGAAAAAAAAAAAAAACATCAAAACACATGAGATGCAGCAAAAACAGTATGGAAAAGGTTATTGATCTTACAATTTGAATGAAGGCTGCCTTATATCAGCGAGAACATATAATATTCATCCTTTTGGGATTGGCTTACTTCACTGAGCATAATGGTCTCTAGCTGGGACCTTCTAGTTGCAAATAGTATAATTTCATTCTTTTTAATGGCTGAGTAGTATTCCATGGGGGGTAGATGTAGCAGTTTCTTTAATCACTCCTATTTAGATGGGCACCTGGGTTGTTTTCATGTCTTTGCTCTTGTAGATTGTGCTTCTGTAAATATAAGACTACAGATTCCCTTCTCATATGCAGTTTTCACTTCTTTTGGGTATATTTTAGGTAGGTGATTGTTGGGTCATATGGCAGGTTTATTTGCAATTCTCTATGCACTCTCCATACTTATTTCCACATTAGACAATTTAATTTTTAAAAATTACATTTCATTTTGTGACACAGTTTCATAGGCTCTGGGATTCCCCCAACCCCTCCGGGAACCCTCCCCCCATGGTGGATTCCTCCACCTTGCTGCAGTATTACAGCTCAAATCCAGTCGAGATTCTTTCATTGCATATATATATACCAAGAATAGAGTCCAGCATCTTATTGTCCAGATAAATTCAACGGTTTCTTGGGGAGACCATCACTGGTCTGAAGGCAGAGCTGGGAGAATATCATCCCAACCAATTAAAAGCCACAACGTAACATCAAAAACAATTTACAACATTATGGAGTTAACTGACATGGTATTGAGTAACCAATATTAAGCAATTTAATGTTAAATACAATAATTTTATTTTAAACTACATGCTGAGTACAAATAATTTAATGTTTTAATTAAAAATGCAATGTTTGTGGGTCTGATGTGATAGTTTAGTGGCTAAATTCTCTGCAACCACAGGGACCACATTGGGTGTCCTGGCTGCTTCACTCACCATCAAGCTCCCTGTTTGTGGCCTAGGAAAGCAGTGAGGATGGACCAAAGCCTTGGGGCCCTGTACCTGCATGGGAAACTTGAAAGAAGCTCCTGACTTCAGATCAGCTTCAGGCCAACCCAACTCCAGCCATCACTACCATATGGGGAATGATCCAGCAGAGGAAAGATCTTCCCCCACCCTCTGCACCTCTATTTCTGAAGTAAAAGAAATAAGTGTTTTAAAAGAGAAGGAGAGAAAGAAGTACAAATGTTTTCCGAGTAAAGATGCAATATTCATTTATTTTGGATCAAAGTGAACAATTTCCAAAGCCAATAAGCCAGCTGATCTCTAATGTGTCTTCTGGTTCTGAGATTCTCAAAAGAGCTCAGAAATTCTGCAAGTGCTCATTCTGATTGCCACATTAAACACTAAGAAGTACTTCATATGCTCAGTGTGGGGTGCCTCAATTCACAAGACAGAAAACATCAGAAAGAACTTGTTCCTTCTTAGCTGTCATTGCCTTAGTACATGGAAACATTACTCTTTCAGTTGCTCAGGCCAATACTCGGTAATAATTCTATTCTTTCTCATTCCTCCATAAATATTCCATGTTTTGGAGATGTAGTATTCAAAATATATTCATATTTGGCCCAGCACTATTGCACAGTATCTTAAGCTTCCACTTAGGGCACTGACATTCTCTCTAGGCACTGATTTGAGTCCTGACTGCTGCACTTCTGATCCAGCTCCTTGTTTACGGCCTGGGAAAGCAGCAGAGCATGGCTCAATTCCTTGGGCTCCTGCACCCATTAGGGAGAACTGGAAGACGTTCTTGGCTCCTGGCTCCTGGCTTTGGATCAGTTCACCTTCAGCTGTTGTGGAATGAACCAGCAGATGGAAGATTCTCTCTGTCTCTGTTTCTCCTCCTTTCTATAACTCTGCCTTTTAAATAAAAATAAAATAAATCTTCAAAGTCTACTCATATTCTAATAATCTGTCACTATCTCTACCTTTGCCTAATAAAATCCCAGCTGTGATCATTTCCTGTCTGTTTTATTGTTCCAGTCTTTAATTAAGCTTTGCCCTGCTATTATCACTGCTATTTTCAACTTGACATCTGGAATTAACCTAGAAACAATAAGTCGGATAATCTTTGCTCAGGAACATCTAATGGCTTCGCATCTCCCTGCAGGAGTCATAGTCTTGGACGTCTCATTACGCACCGGGTTTTCTGTTCTGTCCACACCTTCATGCTTCTCCAACAGCCACAGTAGGGTGACCTCACATGTACTGAACAAGGTGCGGCCCCGGAGCCTTGTACTTTCCAAAAGCTCTTATACTTCATCTTTCTTAGCTTGTTCCCTTACTCACTGAATCTTCTTCAAACAACTTGAAAGC